TGCAAGAATTGTGCCACATGCTTTCAATGATCTTCGTCTGTCCGAGCAGTGAGTTGTCGCACGCATTGTCACCAAATTGTGGGCAGGTGTCAAGAGGACACGGATCAGCATTAGTGAAATCGTGACATCAGTGTGCGATCATCACACTGGACTCGGAGTCATTGCACCGTAACGAGAGGCAACATGAGAACCTCAAGATGGTCTCAACCTTTTCCCCTCCCCCACCCGGCCCCCCACACCTTCGGGCAAAAGAAGAGGAGTTGGATGGTAGAAGCATTGTTTATTCACCGTGAGTTGGGTGGTGAAGTACTGCTTGTGAAGGTGTGTGCGTTTCGCGTAGAGGTGTAGGTGCAAAGGGAGGAATGAAGAAGGGAAGGAGTGAGGGGATGAGGGGAAGGCGAGACAACGAGACAATCACAACGACGTGGATGACAAGTGAGACGAGACGAGACGAGGAGAGTCGAGGTGGGAGGAGGAGGTGAGAGGAGGAGACTGCATCATCATCATCATCATCATCCCTCCTCACTGCAACTGGAATGAGCAAAACACCTGACGTTTGCCCACAGGCAGTGGTGGACGAAAGTTTTCCGTCGTGTTGCACGACTCGCACAAGTGCATCGAGCGCATCGCAGCCAGCTGAAGGGAGTGAAGACGTAGGCATTGTATGCACCTCGAGAGGATGAATAATTTAGCAGCCGTAAGGGACAACGATAAATGGGATGGAGGGGAGGCGAATGGAGTGGAGTGGAGGGTAGGAAGTAATTGTTACGCGGAGACGAATGGAGCACACTGCAGGCTGCTATCGCAGCCACCTCGAGTAACTGCTCTTATCTTTCATGAGATGCAATGAGACTGTGTGGAGGCGACGAAGTAGAAGAAGAAGGAATTTGTGGGAGACTAATCACCCTGACATGGTCATCGGCCAAACGAGTGAGTATCTGCCTGTATGCCAAGTCAGACCAGTGGACTGGACTTCACTTCTCGTAGGCTGAACACACATCCACCCCAATGGATTGTGCCTCACATGCATGCCCACTTCTCTGACTAACCATGAGGCGTGAGGAGACGTGAGCCCATTCTCCACCACCAAAGACATTTCAAGTTGGGCACACTCGCCTCCTCACGGTGCCACGAGAGGTGAGCGTCTCGAGACAGTGCAGTCCTTACGCGAGGGCAGCTTG